CCTAGGTCCCAGGTACACGCCCTAAAGCCGCCACCGTAGATAGTCATATCCGAGCCAGAAAAGATCCTAGTCACCTCTGCCCGTTATCGGTCTTTCGGCCATTACCGCTACCGAGTCATTCGGTCGATAGTCCGTATAGGGTTTAAGACTAGCGCCTCAAGCTACCAGTCGGATACTAAATGAATTGTGTCGATCCGACAGCTGCGTTTCGTAGAGTCAGGGTCACTAAAATCTCGCGAATACACTCTTGCGTCTATATACAATTTCAGACGACATTAAACGCCCGAAGCCGAGAACGCGGATTCGATTTTCGATTTGCTAGCATAGTGAGCTGGCTATGTCGACACGACTGCTAGCTGCTCGAAATTTGGGACCCCGTCAATTGAAAGCGATCAGGATCCGGGTTATCCATGATATGAAAAGTTGCGAGCATCCACCACAAAGCTTTCAGATTCAAATGCCATTATATATTGGACTACTACTTGGCTGAATCCTGGCTTGAGCGATAATTTGACATTCTCACCTATGCAATCACTCTTCCATTCGATATTTTTGCAGTAGTTTTGAGCATCTTTAGACAAATGACCAAGTTTCACGTATTGCTTTATACAATCGAGATATCACTACTACATTACGTAATGTCTAAATGAATCATCATACCATACTTCGGGGTGCATCCATAGAGATATGTTCTCGAACGAATGTAGTGTGATTACAAAGTATCACCTGATATTTAGTTAGGACGCAGACACTCAATAGACTAAGATATTCAAGAGCTTAGGATGTGTTTTTGGTTTCTTTCGCCCCTAACCGAAAGGAGGTCGACCGCCACCACATATATCTATGAACACTACTCCGAGTCGATAGTGCAGTCGAATATTCTCACCCATATGAATGTGCATGAATGTTCTCTGCTGCCAATCATGTACATTATACCAACGAAATTATCATCATTCAGGTTCATCACACCTACTGCACTGATGAATAGTTTTCTGATTTTGAGATTTGAGTAAGACTATACATGCTCAGTTTGAGCTTCCAAGATGTTCGTGAGTCTCAGCATCCCTCATCTCTCTTCATCTATATCCGCCCAGAACTACTTTGTTTCTTCGACGTATCTTGTTGCTTCAAGAAGCGGCTCCCACTCAGCGACATAGCTCTCTGCAATTTCCAGATAAGGCGATAATGTTTAATCCAAGTAATCGCTTAGAGTTCCTAGAAAATGTACCAGCAAGTCTCCGGGATGAACCTAGAGAGACTCCGGCGAATCTAGATTCGGCTATAGTCCGTCCGGTGGCCTCATATAAGCATTAAACCATCGGAGAGGGCAAAAGACTTTATGGTTTCTAAAATATTCGTGCTCATCAAGAAGCTTGCTAATAGCAGACTGATCTTGCCAAGGGAGTAGCTCGTCCGGTTTTAATACTAGGTACGATATCGTCGCAGAGAGCAGTCTCACCGACCACTCATTAACTCGAATAAAGAAGACACCATTATTAAGTCCGTTCCAATCTTTAGTAAGTAGAATATATATACTTTTCAGTCTTGGCGGAGGAAGAAAGACTTCGAGAGGCATATTTACATTCATTAGGACTAAATCGCTATCAAACCAGCTAGAATACGAGGAAAGGGTAGATTAGTCCATAGAAGGCAGAAGGTGATATAAATAGTAATAAGCACTCACAACAGCCATTCAAGCCTCAAACTCAAAGGTTTCTTCAATTCTTATAGGATTTCAGATAGCAGGAACGCACATTTACTATACATACCACTCATAAAAGATTCCCGAAGAACGGAAACCGGGTATCCAAATCAGCGACCGTACTCCTGATATATTCTCAACCCTCTCTCATATATTAAACGGTTTCCATACACCATAGTAACTTTGCCGACTGCAGGCGGCTAAATATATAGTCTGGGTACCATAGGCAATACTATAGCGAACTATCAGCTCTCGCTATCTCTCACATAAGGTTTACCGTAACACTTATAAGACGTACCAACGCTAGAGCAAAATATATAGAGACCCAGCACTCCGAACAGCCCCATAATAGTAGTTTAAACCATCCTCATTCTCATTTTATCTCGGGTTGACGTGTTTAAAGAGGGTATTATCAATTTCGAGAGGTAGTGATAAGGTATTTTGAGCGACTAAAGACAATCAAAGATTAGGAAACGAGGATCTTAAGGCACTTCACTTTATCACCCCTTCAGCTTAGATAGCTAGACTTGACAGACCTAGGACCAGATTTAGCGCCGCAGATAATACCTAGGCAGGTGACTAGTAACATCCATGTTAGAGCAGAGCTATTAGACGCGCCGTCTTAGTTAATCGAAGATAGGTAGTTAACTCCCGTCCTTCACTTTAGCCACATAGAAACCTTCAGGGCTGTCACTACTCCTAAAACTCGCCTTTCTATACTATATCGCGCCATTTGCCCATGATTTTGAGAATTCGTGTGAAGATACATAACCTGTGGGTCTCGACAGAATAATTGTCAAACATACATGCATGCAGCGATTTAACTCTGGAACCGGGTCGGGTCGCGCTGACTGGGCGAGGATCGGGAGTGATATTGTATAGTATGGGACTGAAATCATTCATCGTCCCTACGTACTCAATGTTTATTTTCGATACCCTACGTGAATAGCTTCGGACTTACTTAAAGTAGGAAAATAGAGATTGAGCTGTAATAAAACCTTTGCATCGCGCGATACTATTGAGTCTTGGCCAGAATGGGAGAAGGTAGGCTAGGCCATGGGTAGCTCTTCAAGACTAGGCTTCAGTTCCTCAGCGATATGATCAGAATTCACCACCATCGCCTAAATATACCATCAGACCTGTTCCTTTTCGAAGCCAAAGTAGCCGTAAATTTGGGTAATATCATTTCAGCAAATACATATTGGACTTTTTTGGGCGAGACCCGGCCCATCCGAGATTTACGTTCATATCGGAAATAATAGACAAATAATGAAGTCCTATCTCCAGTAGTCACGTCTATATATAGAGTATCGATTCTATTCTTGTACCAATTTTGTTCCAGTGTCCAAGCCAGGTCAGCGATAGAACTCCGGAAATTTTTGTATACAATAGCAAAATTACATCTCGGTCCGAGTGACAATAGCCGCCAGGTGAGTCCCCAAACTTGCTGGGTATTACCGCTAGTGCCATATTTGAGTGTTAAATAGAACAAGACTTATGGACAGGACTATCTACGAATTAACCTCTCCAAAAACTTCGGAATGACGAAACGCACGGGAATTACTTATATAAATCTAGACTACTTATCTAAAAGAGATACGGAAACTCTTTAGTATATATAGCGTCGAGCCTACTAACTTAACTTCGCCCTATTTAACGTCTGCGGTATCCGCTTTAGCTAGGGCAGTATTATTAGTATTATACTAATATACGTTAATTATCTACTACTTTCAAAATATATAAAAGAGAAAAATTAGTCTAATACCCGGACCTAATACTTATTAATAATCTTAGAATTAGTAATACTATTAACGCTATACTCGCGTTACTGCTTATTTAGAAATACGGGGATATCGACGAGGGACTCCCACGCACTCGACGTATAAAGATAGTGATGAATATGATTTTCGATTTCACCATTAGCTTAATACTGTTAATCGGCGATCTGGGAGATACGGTATTTAAATGTAATACTCGTAATATAGCCAGCTTAGAGCAATATCTATGCCAAAGGCCTTCGGGTCGCCAAGATAGGTTTCACCTTGATTCTTGTTGAAGAGTTACGAGGTAAACCAATACGTGTAAAATGTATACTCGGTCGCATCACATTAATGTCAACGTGAATACAATGAAGAAAGACTATGAACCTACAATAGGAATATTCACTCTCTCCTATATCACGTCCTGGGTCAAGGGAGCTATAAGTTAGACGGTAGATTATGCAAAATCATCTGTAGTAACCGCTTATAGGTAGTAGAGGAAATGCCTAAATCCCCATAGTGACTTTTTTCTCCCGGTGATACAAACTCATCGTCACCGTACTTAGCGACCAGATTCAATACTTTTTGCGTGGGAAGATGTCCAGACCGTTAAGCGGCACTGGTAGCAGACTTGTTTTATCAAATCCTTCGTCCATCATTTGAGGATAACTGTTACAGTAGTTTTCGAAATCAGTTAAAACCTCTCCCACTCTTGCGATTTCATTCCCGCAAATTGATTTCGAAACATACGAACCTATTCTGGTCCACCGCTCTATAATAATGGCAGAAGAGTACGCGTGATAGCAGTACAAAGACGGATGAGTCATCTTGATAATACCGTAATGTTTCGTAGCACTGCGTACGGAGTTCAATTCTCGAGTTCAGGCGATCTAGCATGATCGTCTGGCCTATCCACATCCCTTCCTGCCTGCCCCCGTTCGTTCTTCCCGTATCCGTCGCAGCCCACATTGACCACTTTTTGAAGCGGGATACGGTGCTTCTTAACACCAATAATATGGATCACAACCATGAAGCTCTTACACAGCGTCAGTGACTGGTCAAGCAAGACACATTCACTATCCATAATATCTTGTGACAGTCCTCGAAAAATTGATCAAGTTAAATAATTCAATAAGCTAAGGCTAATCGAGTTCTGATTACAATCACGTAGTTAAGATGACTAGGCGCGATGTCTCCATGACTTGCAGGGGTTTGGGCCTCTTCCTTCGCAGAGTGTGTATAGCGTGCGCCACAGATAAATGCCCGTAAATCTCTTTTTGATGCTCGATGAGGAAAATGACAGTCATCTGTTGGTCTCATTTAGCTAGCAGTGGTCGATTCAATCGATTTTACGCACAGGCATATCTCATTGCATTTGTTTCACCTCCAAGGCGCTTGGGATGCAAGATGTTGTAAGAATTGATGATAAAAATAGCAAGAGGTCTGCCGAGGCACCCTGTTGAGAGTATAAATATCCACCCAGAGAAGATTTGGAGTTACCAGTTCAAGTCCACGAGATCACTACAACTACTTCAGCCATGTCGTACAATGTCTATCGAGTTTCTTATGCCGGTCTTCCCCGGGATCATCATGCTATCTTCGTCGAGATGAACAAGGACCAGTCTGGTCATATATTTCAGGTCACTGGTGACATACAAAACGGCATGAGACATGACGACAAACCTGCCAAAAAGCCGGAGGAGTCAGGGACCTACCAAGGCAAAGCACACATTGGAAAGGTTGCCGCAGGGGATTTTGATAGCATCAAGCGAATTTGCGAAAGTATTCCTCCGCCCAAAAAACAATTTGAGGGACCTCGGAAAATATATCCAAATGAACCTCTTCGCCGCTGCCAGGAGTGGACGCAAGAAGCCATAAGTGCTTTGGTTACTAAAGGAATTCTCAAGAATTAAATAATTGATGCCGATCGCTTTTCGATATCAATTTCGGCGCTATTGTCTTGGAAAAGCTTCCTAGACGCTACTCAGCGGACAGTACATGTCGTGGAGAATGGACCCCTTCTACCCCTGCACTGACGTTTTCGCCGTGTGTCCACTTCTGTATGCTGTTTTGATGTTATTTTTGACACGAGGGGCACTCGGCCATTGTAACACCGGGTCTGCAAGTTTTTTGGCGAGGACAATTCAACTTGTCCTCGCAGAGTTCTAATATTACGATTCTTGATCAATGAATTCGTCGAGTTTGGTTGATTTCACCTGATACACCTGTCAGATTGAGTCCAGTAGAACGTTTTCACTACGTCTAGTAAATCCTATTGAAACCTATATTCGATGCACGTGGAGCCTTAGCGAAAGTCGTTTACTTCGGAAATTTTGGTGCTTCGTAGCTTTGCGTCAGTGAGGGTAATTTGACTGCTAGGCTACGCCATCATCCTGACTCAGATTTCAGCACTCAGGCAGGTGGTTCGAACTGACTTTATGGTGGCTCGACCCAAAAGTTTGGCACCGAGCTGAACGGTTCAGAATCGTTAGTTAGCATGCTAGGGTGCACTGCCATAAGCACTGGCTTTGATTGGTGGAGACCGCATATTCAAACAAGGGTCTCGCCACCATGCCCGTACGACGTTTCTTACCCTCTGAAATTTAACGTATCACGTGACTGCTACGGACTTCATAAGGGACTCGCTCGGCAATGATTACATTGCACCCGTCAGATTATCCCCCGACCGAACTTGAATCACTATGGAGACACCCTTCGAAATTCCATTCTATGCAGATGATTTGCCTTGCCCTCTTCCCAGTAGCGCCGAAATTGAGAATGCTCCGGATATCTCTCTGCAATATGGAGGGCGAAGAATCGTTGCAGTGGGTCAGAATTTCGTCGTGAAATTTGGACTAGGCGTCAATCTCATCGAGGGGGAGAACATGTTGTTTGTTCGGAAGAATACAAATGTTCCTGTCCCACGAGTATACGCTCTCTATTCGGACACAAATACCGGGAACAATTACATTGTCATGGAGCGGATTATCGGCCAATCGCTACTTTCCGCATGGCCACAGCTCACAACGCTGGAGAAAAAACGCATTCTGAGCGACCTACAAAGATCGTTTGAGGAGTTGCGCGACCTTTCATCTCCAGATTACTTTGGCAGCTTCGGCAATCGGCCACTTTTGGACGAGATATTTTGGACCCAAAAACCTGATCCGCTAGTGAATGGTCCCTTTGCCTCAGAAATGCACCTCAACGAGGCAATGATACGAAAGTACAAATACAATGGAGGGCCCCCATACAGAGCGGAATACCTTAGGAAATGTTTACCTCTCGTCTTTAAGGGCCACGAAGCGGTGTTCACTCACGGTGATCTTCAGCGGAAAAATATCATGGTCTGCGAGAAAAAGAATCAAGCCGGGGAAGAAGCAAGCTTGGTCATAATTGACTGGGAAAAGTCTGGGTGGTATCCGCGGTATTGGGAATACTGTTTGGCTGTTTGTGCTTTACGATGGGATGACGATTGGGCGCTCTGGGTTGATAGTATTTTGACGCCATTTGTCCATGAGTCTGCATGGTTACAAACACTTCGCCTGGAGCTGTGGTCATAGTCATGCAATACACGGCGATATTTGTGACCATATCGCGCCAAGGGCACGTAAATATTCCAATGCTATGGAGTGGTAGCCGAGACGTCAAGGGTTTCGCGACGGAATTTGTTCTTCCCACTATAATTGTGATCTATATGCTGCTTCGCGATGCTCCTGCTGATTTGAATTGTGTTTCATACGTTGCTTGTCTACTGTATAAACCGACATTATGGATTTTGAAAGATATTGCCGATGATTCCCAATTCCCGCAAAGGAATAATGCCGCATGCCAGTGTAAGTTTTTTTCAAAATCAAAAACACAGTACATGAAATATCTGGAATAAAGGAATAGTTTTGGCGAGTCGCTTCTTTGCGTCGTTCAACCCAAAGGTCGATGTCACGAACGAACCGCCGGGCGGCAACTACTTTTACGCCATGCTTGACAAAGAAACCTTGGTCTTGATCCTCGTCAATTTGCAATAGGTCCGGATAATTTTCCAAGGGTCACATCGCGTGCTTTGTTGATGTTCTCCGTGAAAGTCTCGTTGCTGACCCGCGATTGCTGCCATTGAGGTTTTTCCTTGACGGCGACATCCAGCAGGCCATCACCCAGATTGATCCAGTATAGCTGGGCCCAGTGGGTATGGTGTCATGAGGAGGATGTATCGGCTGCTGAGATGATCTTGCCGGGAGAATATTAGTATGGATTGGAGGGTATATTGAACATATCATAGCTGTTAGAGGGTCTGTATCGCAGGTCAGATAACCTGTTGGCTGGGCAGAGGGTCCAAGTCTATAGGGTCTGATTTCAAAGACCGAATCTTGAAGTCTAGTAGGGACTCCACTAGTTTCCACAATATATACATTTAGAATCCGCCTACCCAAGCCCCCACATCTCCACATGGTGCCCTTAGGGTTCTTGCCCTTGGACGACGCGGGGACGATTCGACCGTGCATCGTATCCCATCACCCTATATGGCTGGCGCCGTGACAATAGCGTCCTCCGCGGGTTCCACTTTTCTTATCTAGTCAGTACTTCTCCTCGGCCTCGGTATGGAGCTGCTCGCAAATACCGTTAGGGATATTGGCGTAGGTCTCGAGAACTCTACCTTGCTCTATTTATTTGATCAGGGCCTATAGATGGTGTATTTGTAACCGATAGCGCCCTTTTCTGTGATATTGTTCTTCGTGGCGATATAGTGATCCGGCATATTGTATAACACGGTATGTATCACGCTAAATGAAATGTTGGTCGGAGCTCTGCTGTCACGGCGCAATGTGTGTGATATGGCGGGACACAATTCATGGCCGAATCGCCCCGCGTCGTCTTAAGGGTAAGAAAAATCAGGGAGGGCACCGTGTGGAGTTATGGAGGCTCGGTAAGCGGAATCTTAATGTATATATTGTGGAAATTAGTGGAGTCTCTAAGACCCAAGATTCGGTTGTTGAAAATCAGACCCTATACAGAGTAGACTTAGACTCTCTGTCTAGCCAACGGTTATCTGACCAGCGATACAGACCCCATAACACATTGCCTCGGGTTGGGGCGCCTTGCGTGACTCATCAATTGGCCAAATTCTAAAATTAGATGCGCTTGTTATGGTACATGGCCGTTACATTCAGCTTGTAACATAATGATGACTTATAGACTTGAACTCATTAGCGAGGGAAATACTCGCAGGAAATGACAATGAACGAGGATAGAGTAATCCTTGCAAGCAGTAGAGAGGGAAGACGGTCAGCTTTTGACCCAAACTGTGTTCAGAGATACGAATTTGAGGAGATTCTGATGTCTTCATTCCGAATATCTGGGTTCGCTATGGACTATAGTTGAATAACAGAACTGCCACGGAAACCTTGATTCCGAGGAAAAGGGTTCCTATGGTGAGATATACCCAAAGCTTAAGGTACTTTCTGATCAAATGGGAATACATATATAGAACGAATATCGCTTAGTTTTGACGATTTCTCGGCGGCTTTTTGAGGCATGATCTCGAATTTTTCCTACGTGTTTCTCAAAGTATTCTAGATACAATCAGTGAGAGCGACAAGCGGTTGTGGACGAATGTACGTTGGGTCATCTTCCTGGCTTCAAATCTTATTTTCTTTCGGCGACTCTCCCCTCACAATAAGCTTATATCTGGGACGAGATGTATCTCAAACATTTCACTCTCAGCCACGCTGAGACACTGGGTAGCCGAGACCTACTACACGACTCCGTCATACATACCGTCCCTTCGATAAGGAATGTCTGGTCATACATCCCAGACTGGGTCCACGATAGCTGGAAACCTCCGCTTATCTCTGGTGTAAGAAATCCGCACAGTGCGTCCGACTCGGTCACGACTAAAATTTTGATCAAGCATTTTCTCGAGGTGAACGACGTCTATACATCTTATTTCGGAGCTTAGCGAGGCCCTGATTTGATACACGATTTGACTGATCTTTCGCAGATCATGAGGTATATCGGAAGAGGATTGAATATCATCAGGAGCACACAACTGGAAATCAAGGTCATTAGTTTCAACTCAGACCTATCTCCTATCTGGGTACTTTCCGAACGGTTTCAGGGCTCAGCATACCCCGTTGCAAAATACCATAAGCCTATTCAATTATTGCGCGAGCAAATTATTGAGCAGTATCGCAGTGACGGTATACCGTTCATTCAGATTCATTTTCGCATTTGCACCTATAAAGCATACTAAAGTGAACAGCTACCACGCCTAAGACTGCTCCAATCCTTTCTGGAGCTGACTCTATAGGAGACTAGCGAATATATAATGCGTTTACTCAGTAATCACCAAGCTAAGAGAGTGTCAGATGGAATACTCACGCTAATAATGGGAGATATCCATACGAAGGTTTTCGCACTTAACAATAGAGCCGATAGCGGACTAGGAAAGAAAACTTTCCTTTGGATACATCGGCTAAGCGCGTAACTCCCTACCCTGATTTTACCTTACAATATACAGTAGACTTAGATACCTAACCCAACAAGCCGGAATTCAGATACGTCCAAGTCTAGGTTGGATTCCTGTCATATTAGGAGTCTCCCATAAAGAGAAACTACACTTCCTGTATTCTTGACTATACAAGTTTTCAACCGACGTCCTAAACTTTCCTGATTCGACACCCTAGTCGATTGAGTCAACTAACCTATTCTATATTTCTAATATAAGAAGATTCAACCACGACATAGTAACTGTGAAGGGAATCGCTAGAAGCCCGAAAGACAGTTACGGAGGCTTAGCATTCCTAAGGGTCAGACCGCGCCCGGCTTTAAGCGGAAAGCTACCGTCAGAGTTCCCGTCTAAGTAAGAATCTTACAAAGTGCTGAAAATTTCACTTACTCGTTCATCACATCTACGTGAATGTCTGGCCAGGTCAAGGGCACCGCGCGTGATCATCGGAGGCAAGTGTCGCCCAAACGCTCTACAATCGGATACAGAACCATAATACTTTAACATAGTCACGCAGGCTTTTGGCATTCTCAGTGAAAAAAGATATTATCAAGTAAGACGGAGTAGGTCAAGTCATCTATACACTAAAAGACATTCTGTCGCGATCATCACTAATTAGCCTTCCGTATTCCAGCATCAGTCTCCACCAGACCAGTTTCATATCTTCATTACGCAGCACCCGGCGAGACCACTCGTAACTATTCTGAGCGACGCGTTTCCCCAAATCTTAACCTTCACGCTCTTGCGTCAGGTACCGTACAATCTCAGGAAAATCACGTAGATCCAGGCTGATCGGTATATAATAAACCCAAGGAATTAGCCAGTCGTTATACCACTCCTAGTTTAGCGTTTACTTAAGAACGGCCGATTTCGACATCAAGAGACGGTAAAAGCGACTACTAAGACCGTTACCGTCTAGATCGAGGCTATAGCGAAATTTGTATCCCTCGGAGATATCGTCTCTTTAGCCCTCTTTGATCTGAAATTCATTTACTTATTCTTCACATACGGTATCGTTATATTAGACGGCTGCTATTATTTGTATACGGGTAAAGTTAGACAGAGCCGCTATAGTTGACTTTATCTAGACCCAGTCGGAGTTATATAGGGTTATTCACTTATATCGACTTAGTAGGTTCACTAATAAGCTTTTATTCAAGGTTATAAGAACTAGACGTTAGCGCTAAAAGTCTCGCTAGTTATTAGAGTTAGATTAACCTCCTATATTAGATCTAGCCTAATAGACGATATTCTGTTTCTATTCCTAATCACCGTCTAGTTCTCCTTTATAATCCCCTATTCGTAATCGCTCGGTATAAAAAGGACTAGGGTAAAGCAGATTATTAAAACAAGATAGTTTAGATTACGAAAACACTAGAACTAGGGAGTATACGATAGTTATCGATACTAGATAGCAGAGCCCGGTATAAAGGTTATAGAGTTCGGGAAATTAACAGATATCCTTACTAAGTATAATATTTTCAAGGAATCCTATTTCTGTAAGGAACGGAGAACCTATAGCGGATAGAGAGAGATCCCGTACTAGCGTATTAGGGGCGTAAGACACAGAAAGTATATCCTAGGTATTTTATTTACTAATATCTAACAGATCGATATATTAAGCGAGACTAGGTCGGTCAGACAGTCGTAGCGGAGTAGTATATAGAGCCTAAGCTACGTGTAAGGTACAAGATAGTATATTATAGGGGGTAACAATCTTCGCTTTATCTATAGTATTTATCGCTAGTATTATATTCGGTAGGGTTTACAAAATCTCGGTATTAAGCTAGGAAGCAAAAGTAAAACTTATCTAATAGTTAGGATTAATATATAAAGCCTAATCGCTATAAGATATAGTCAAAGTAAATAGTTCGTTTCCCGGACTAATAGTAGCGAGATTCTTAACACGCGCTTAAATATCTAAGGGAGCTATACCCTATAGCGGCTACATAGCTATTATTATAGTATTAAACTTATCGATTAACAAGAGATTTTGTTTTTTTACCGTATAGAACTATTTATCATAATATATAGGCGGTTTCCGTCTGTATTTTCTCTCGTACTTCTTATAGCTAGCCTCCAAAGTTTAAGACTAGTCTTTAATTAACTAATTAAGATCATTCTCTGCTTTTCTAGTAAGATAATAAATTAGATAAGTAGAAGGCTCTAACTAGACTTACGGGTACGACTACAGTAACTCGCCCTCCTAGGTTTCTAGGGCTAACGACGAGGGAATAGCATTACTAAAGATTAAAAATTAGCCTAAGAGAGCGAAAGAGGGCAATAGGAGAAGACCTATCAGTTTTCGATATACCGCGGATAGGGATAAACCGTCGAATCCGATTTTCAATAATAAGGCTAAGACCAGCGGCGAGATAAGGCTCTTATACGATTTTTATTCTTTTAATAGCCTATACAGGACGGTCGCTAAGTAAGATTCGATAGTCAAGGCGGATAGAGTATTACTAGTTATAATCTATAGGAAGAGACTATTAGTTAATTAACTCAGACGATTTAGACTAGAAGCGTATCGTCCTCGTATATACTAGATAGATAGTACAGGCTAGCTTTCCGGTATTCACAAAAGCTATAAAAACTACCTACCACGGTATCACTATCGAGGGAGGCCATATACAGAGTACTATCATAAGGATAATTAGTACCCGGAGAATAAGGGTCTCTGCTACCTTAACATACAATAGCCGTTCGATCTAATCGCGGCATATATCGAGTAAGAAAAACCCCAAAGATTTCAACAGGGCAAAACTCGCCGGAAACGCTATATTAAAAGTATTAAAGTCTCCAGGAAGAAGAAAAATAGAGTATATCACTAACAAGCTCCAGACGACATTTTATATCGTCAATTAAAGTTTCGGGCAGGTTCGATATAGCCGTTAGTAACCGGCTAGGCCGGGGAGCGTAGGTAATATCCGTTCTCGATATAAAATTGCGCAGAAGCTAAACACTAAGGCCTAAGGCTATAAAGAAAATATAAATAAGCGTTCCGAGTTTCATTAGCTCCCTAAGCAGACGCGTCAAGACTCGATAGCTTACCGTAGCTATAGTACTAGTGTGATTAACGTTGATAAGCCGGCTAAATACTACCGAAAGCGAAGCTCCCTATAGATTTATATTAACCTCGGGAGGGATTTCCGTCGCCGAAGACTCCTCTTTAGTAACGTTAACTAGGGGTCTTAGCAGCGTCTTCTATCTCAGAGCGAAAAGTAAGACCGCCCAAGAAATACATTCGACGCGGATATCGTGATTCGTAGACTAAAACCTGTTCGTATATTCGTTATAAGCCGCGCTAACGGCAGACACGAGGTACGCGGTACTTCTATCTATACTGAGTATATGTTAGATTTGTGAAGATAAAGGGCCAGCAGAAAGAGACCACTCTGTCCTTAGGGAGAGGGTCCACGATAAAAGACCATTACTTCGTTAACGGTCTCGATCCTCCTCTGGACTACTTAAGCGGCCTGAAAATCGTTTAGAGGAGTTAATACACGCTGTTTGTATTGCGGACGAGTAATATGTCTTAGAATAGGAGAGGTGTCCTGATACCTGGAATTCCTGGGAGAAAGAATTACGAGGTCGCGGAGTAGTGGCTGTCACGATGGCCCCCGGCGTCTGTTAGCACGGGCTGACTTTCATGCCCTCTAGCGTGACTGTCGACTGTCTGTGGGTTCGTATGGACAAGAAATGCGAGACTGTGGGGGCGATGCAAGCGCCACGCATACTTATTTTGTCTATGGTGTTGGGGGTCCACGAGTGCAGAAGCAGATATATTTCAGGTCATATCCACCACTTTACATCAGTCAACGAGGGAGGTGCTCTTATGTGATTAAATTCAAACAACGATTACTCCCTGACAGTGTCTAGTATGGATAAATTGCTACTTAAGTATCTAACTCCCATAAAATAACTATGCAGTGATTCGGTTTAGTTCAATGATCATGATCAGCCCCTCCTGCGAGACTTGACCGCTTTCTCCTGATGTACTGAGACAATTGTGACTGCGTATATATAAGTCCAGCTAAGCAAATGTCAACCGGCGAACCGCTTCCTTGGTGGACAAGTATGTCTTTTCCTGAAAAATTTCATAGGTACATTGGTAGAAATTGAACAATAACAACCCAGCAAGTGGGCGAGCCAGCAACCTTTGAACAATTCAAGGCCCATCTCCTTGTCTCTGAAGATCAAACCTTGCATTTATCCATACCAGAATCATTCATACGGTACCTTGAAATCTAGTTCCCCATACTTCAGAGACTCTAAAATCGCGGTCTGTGAACGTGAAGAGTCAATTTTTGATCATAGTCCGAGGCTTCTAGAATAGTCTCTCCGAAGACCCATTCCACTTAGTTCAGTGTCTGGAGAAGCACTATGTTTTACTCACCGCAAAGATTACTCCTCAACAGATGCCCCCGAGAGGAGCGGTTCATCGAATATGCTCTTGTGATTACTTCCACGAGACTCTTGCATTTGAGCAACCTTGGACACCGCGGTGACTAGCTACCTCGGTCGGAACTGTGAAAGGTCTGGATTGATCTTCTCTACGGCACTTGTATTTCGACACACGTGCAATGTGAAAGGTCCAAGCTGCTGAATTTCAGTAATGGACGGCAAAACATAAAATGTGGCCCCGGCGCTTGGAGCATGACGTGATCAACGGTTTATACCGCGGCATTTGTCGCCTTTCACTTTGATTGTTCGCAAACCTCATTTTCGATATCGAATGCGGGGTACATGATATTGTGCCTCTGCTATGGGACTGCGGTAGATTTGATGTGATTCGAATCGTCAGGGACCGTAGTGGATACGGATATTTGACTTTTCGATCTGTAAATACTGCACTGATTTGCTCTATACTTTCCGGGGTCTCTTCAGAGTAATGTGGGATGGCAGGCCCCCTTGTGGTAGGTGCCAGCACCACCATATCTACTTCCCGACCTCCTCAGGATTGAAGTAATGTTTAGCGAGATAGACTCGGCCTCATGTGCTTAGATGCACATAACCTTGAACAACACGAGTTAAACTGCACATAAGAAGATGTTGAGTAGTCCTCTCTCCAAGTCACCAGACTGTCAGTTCGGAACGTCGAGTACGACAGCCCCTTCAAGTATATCAGACTCGTCTATATATCTCCACCGACCAACAATGCAACTTCTAGTATCACGAAGCTTATGATAAGGTCCATTAATCGCCGGAGAGACTGCGCACGATCTAACAATAGGTATTTGATATTTCGACCTGTCGGTATCTCTTCCCAAAACAGACACGTCTCAATGCTGATATGAAGCTTGCCAAAGTCAGGGATAGAATTCCATAGTGCGTGTTCCGAACTCGAAAAACTAAATTCCACATGTGCCTCTATAACCTTCACGCCGCCAATATCATTTCAGTCTCACAATATGCACGCGCTTCACGGAAGGCTAATAAAATCTCAATCATTGTCTCCTCGTACTGGCAAATGGGCGGAGATGGAAATAGCCGGGTAGTCAGGTGCGATAACATTTAAGATCTATTTATTGCAGGCCTGAGCGCAAATCGCGCAAGAGTCATAGATTTTGTTGTCTCTGCTCATTCTGATCTATAAGACCTCCTGTGAAAAAGCTTCGATAAGTGCCCCGAATCAATCAACTCAGCTGCAAACTCGCTTCGGCATGTACAAAGTGCTGGCCATTTTATCTTTGGCCGACCTAGTTGTCTGTCACGGTCACATCCCCAATATCGTAATCAATGGAGTGTTCTATCAGGGCTGGAATATTGGCTCGTTCCCGTACCTGTCCAACCTTCCACTTGTTGGTCCATAGGAAACCTCTAATATAGGCAACGGATTCATTAGTCCGTGTGGGTTGTGGTTCTTATTTCATAGATCCTCAGAATGGAGAAGCCATGACAATGCGGTTTCTTCTACTACCCGAGCACTATCCCACGCACATGCAACTGATGCTTTGTCTGCCACTATCGAAAGGTTTACCGGATATCATTTGCCACATGCATGTATACTACTATAAACGCCAAGGGCTATATTGTCGTTGCCTCCGCGGATAAAATCAACGTTCAGTAGACCACCTAGCCGGACACTCACCATGGATCTGTGATCACTTACCTCGCAGACTGCGGTGTTTTTCGTGGGACGGTCGACAGAACGATCTTGAAGTACTTCAATATCGACGCTATGGGTCTCGTTGACGACAGCACTCCTCCAGTTACCTGCGATGACGACCAGGTGACTGCCAACGGCAATAGTTGGAAGGTCGAGACCCCCCCCCCCCCAAAAGCTGGCACGTGGCAATTATGTCCTGCGTAAGGAGACCATCGCCCTACACAGTGCAAAAGGAGGACAGTGCTCAAAACTATCCCCAATGCATCAAATGCATCAAGTTGCAAGTCACTGGACCAGGGTTGGACAAGTCTGCGGGTATTTTGGCAATGTATCTGTATAGCCCAACGGACACCGGTAACATCTACCAGTCCCTGGCGAGCTACGCCATCCCCGGACTCGCTCCGTACACGGGTGCTGTCTTCACCGCTCGAGCAACCTCGGTCATCACAGCCTCTTGGAACCCCATTGCGGAAAGTGGTTGTGCCCTTACCACAACCACCGCTGGATCCGGACCATCGACTAAGAAGCCATCAACAACTACGCCGGTCACCAAGACAACCACGATCTTCGGCAACCCTACCGTTGACATGGCTATCTCTTTACTCGTCAAATCCTTTGTACAGTGTGAATGTGAAATTAAAATTAGATGAACTTTACCGACTAGACTAGATCCTCAGATAAAACGCTCCTGAACAAACCACCCCTTCTGCGTGCGACTAACTTTGTAGACCTAAAATTTACGGGAGCACCAGGGGGAACGTGGATGGAGTTTCCAAAAGAAAGTCAGGGCCCACAGTATCTTGAAACCCATCCAGTCCGAGCAAACGGCCCTGTCTGTCCTCTAGTGTTCGATCGTCAAAGTCTTTCCCATCAAGTAGACAATTCCATGATTTCAGGGCTTTTGTAGGACCATGTAGACTTCACAAATGGAACACTTTCAAGCCATCAGTGGCGGAGAATTTGAATCCCAATTTTTCACCCATCGAAGCCAAGATCGACCGCTAGTCGCACGGGGCCGGGCGTCAAGGCTCCTCCAATCCCGTCTATGTCCGCTACTGAGCTGGTATAGGCATTATCTGTGATTCTAGCATCCCAAGTCGTAGAAGAGCAAATTGTCTCCCTGACAACCGAGCAAATCTTCATTCCCTATATCTGGAGCTGTGCCCTTTGTGCTTGTATTACGGAGACATCAAAACCCGACCAGCCTCGATTTTTGGACGATCCAAAATCAAATTCACCCCAAGTAGAAGCGTAACCGCCGTACTGATCTTTTAGAATAGTGTTCGTGTTAGAAGCGGCCCAGCCACCTTGAGAGTCTGCCGCGAATGCTATATACTGGATTGCTCCCGGCGCCAGAGTGAAAGAATGACAAGCATTTCCATACCATCCAGTCAACTGTCCGTCCGGACCAATTTTGTTCCAAATTGCGACATACCAGGTCTTTGCAGAGGCCTAGCTGAATCTAACGACGTACTGATACTTGGAAACCTCTGTAGGGGAGACGGAAATGATGTTACTTCCATATGGGCGACCGACGTTCCCTATATAAGAAATACCAAAGCCACTTGACTGTGTCGGACTACCAAATCCTTCGTTAGAAAACACTGCATCCGCCGGGTAAGCAGACCATGGTTGTGGAGTATGGGAAGTCAAAGAGATGTCTCGAGGTTTGCTTATCGTAGATCCATATCCCCTAGCCCGAACGTTTGTTAAGTGAAGCAGACAACAGATCAAGCTTCGCAAGTCTATCATTATGAGTACCGCTCGATGTGCGAAATCCGCAACTGAGGTCAGAAACCGCCTCTTATCTTAAAACACCCAGGATTTCACCGCTTCGTTCCACTCGCATAAGTACTGGGAGGGATACTGTCGCGTTTCAGGGATTCATCAGCAGGTCCAGTGATCGAATTTGCAGGTTTGAGTGTCCCACAAAAGGAATTTTCATATTCAGAGTGAATTTCAGCATGACCAAAATAATGCAATATCAAGACCAGTAATACCCGGCAGTGAAATAGGTGGTCGCGGCCAGCAGGAGAACAAATGTTCGGGATGTGTCTCTTGAGACTTCCCTCTTTCACTGAAATGGGATTGTTTCCGCATAAGTTGGGCCATCCGAACGCTGGCCAAATCCATTCCCTTAATTAACTCGGGATCTAATTATATCAAATCTGGAGATTACTGCCGTGAATTTGGTAAATCTTCGAAGCTGTGGGAGGGTCTATAATCGGCTAATTGAGAAGACATAGCTTGCAGTGTGTGAGAATGGACCAAGAATTGATTTCCTGAATAACCATCGAAGAGAGAAACACACGAACTAACTTTGTCTTGACTTATGTCTCAAACAAGGCCTACCCTAGCCCCTCGAAATTGAAGTGCTCTCTTATTTCTCAATCTATGTGTGACAAACCCTGACCTCATCGCGCTATCAATCCAGTCGGCTAGGCTTATGACCGTCACCACGGAATACCTCCCAGATCAGATAAATTACTCCTAGGAGTTGTGTTCTGGCCATCGGAATGGCTTTTCAGACGCCTCGGTGTTAGCTCGTTCAAGTTCTTTGGGTGTACGGAGATTCGTACAAACTGGATGTTTCCAATTCAAGCAGTTTCTTCATGTTTTTGCTGACTTGGGAGAGTATGTTCATCATCTTCTTCATCTCATTTCGCAAATCTTCTATGTCCTTCTCCGTCTTTTCAACACAAAATGATAGTCTCTGTATCTCCTTCTTCGCCTTTGTAGGGTCGCTCACTGGTAACGCGGCCGCATCGGTCTCCTTTTGAGAATTTGCAGAACCTAAACCAGGCATATAATTCCAAGAAGGGTAAGAAGGGTAATCCGTCCCAGGTCTCTGTACCTGGCATTTCCACGATTTGGGGAGAGGGTATGTAGAGAAAGTAGTCATTTCAGGCATTGCTGGATATCAACTTTGAGTAGATTCTTCTTCTGGGCTATTTAACTAGGCAATCGGCGCAATACTTGAGCTAAAAATAGGTGTTGAAAAGTTTGGTTGAGTTAATTCTGGAAGGGTCGGCAACTCCTATTCATGATAGTATAACAAGTATCCAGCGATCATATAGATGAATCATTGGCGATGCACCTTTGACCATTTTCTGTCATAGTCTGCTGCTGGGTCGATTATCCTCTTACTGCGACGCTTTGTGTAATGCAATGAATAGCAATATCCTGATTATTCTTATTATTCTTATTATTCTTATTATTCTTATCATTCTGATGCTTGTCATTATTATTGTTGTTATTATTATATATCACACTCGGATCTGTCAGGTCTTGGATCCGATTTGCCGGAGGCCCGCTCTCCTTCCAACTCCTGCTTTCAGGGATCCCCCCGCGCTTATCCCATTTAGGTTTGCCAGAGTTTGGATCTTTACAGTATCATTTTATTTTTGAGGTCCTCAGGACACTGTCAAGCAGTCGCGGGACGGAGCTGCCGCGTAGTTCTCCGTGTGCCCGAGGAGCTTCGTGAGCTTCATAAATTCAACCGCCTTTACTGCATCGACTGCGTTCCAGGTAATGAACAGTATGGCCTATGTAAATGTACCATAGAAATGTCTGATTTCGGCCAGCATGAAGAAAGAATTTCAAACACACGAGGCTCAATTTGATGATGGTCGTATTCGGGCACAATGACCATTCTGTTTCAAACAGAAACACATAGCTTCTACTGGCAAGAATGGAGATCTGAAAACCTTCGGATTCCGAGCAAGGCTTGTCATGGTAAATCGAGCTTCTGTCGCGGACTGATGAAAACTCGAAAGCTACTATTGCGGCGAGGAGTCGATTTCCGTCACCCCGTTTTGGGACCAACACAGCAAGCTACTGGTCCACCATAAATCTCTTCGTGGAAATTCCAACGCAAGCATTACTGATTGTACTGCTCTCGTCATCGCGCCCCTTTTAAGCTCTTAGAGAACCCTCTATATACTGTGCGCCATTAGCATTTCTAGAAGTGACTTGTGAGCCTCAGACGTTTATCATAGCTGATATGACAAGAACGGTAAGAACAGTGCACCGCATAAGTTTGATGAAGAGACGGGGCAGTATGTCTATATTAGAAGCTGGAATATATCGAACCACACGTTATTATTGTACTACATATGACCTCAGCAATCGCCCGCGAATTAAAAAGCAAATTTCTCGAACTCGGTATCGACGATATTCGCGGCGGCAATCTGTGTATACACTTATACCGCCAGATATTCATGCACATTTACCGCCACAAACGCCGTCCCTTCGATCCCTCCTGGCCACCATCGTACGGCAGGCTGCTTTCATCGGACTTGGCCAGTTTCAAGAGACCATACGACGAGAGTTGCAAAGCACTCTTAACATTAGATCAATGAAAGGTATCGGAACGACTTTGGGACAAACTCACTAGGAGATTAAATTACTAAGCATTCATGAAAGATAAGTTATGTCCTTTGTCCCGGGTTTTGATAGAACCTTCTTCGGTAAAACGCGCCTGATGAATGTCTTGCACCGGCGACTATCCTCTGTCCTTCATCGCTAGTAAAAATTAAGTATGCCTTTCGAATACCCGTCTGATTACCCATTCCAAACCACCAGGGGACTGTCAAGAAAAATTTGCGCTGATACATCGTTATTCAGCTGACTCCGTATGCCCGAAGAATTATGTGCTACTTTCAATGCCGGCATCTCTAATCTACAGGAAGCTCTCATGATGGATATCCGCTCTGAATATTTCCTTTGTACTACCTTCGGCCGAAAGCTAGGATACCTAATCCGCTCTCTTCGTCCTCCGGTCATTTGAGCTTTAATGAAGGGTGGCATCCTTGTAAGTCATACCGACTTCGAGTACTTTCAACCTCGCTGCAGATAGATAGAACTTTGAAGAGCCGAAAATAGGTGTGGACATTGGTATTTTGAGAATGGTCAGTTGCGGGCAAGCTGAATTGTGCCTACTAATACCTCAATCAAATTAGCTTAGAGGAGAATCATCGAGACTGTCATGGAGTACTGTCGTGTTCACGAGGTCCCGAAACATTTGTGTCACAAATGAAGATTCGCCATACATAGCCTATCCTATGCTCTAACTTTTCCTTGAATGATATCTACTCTTTCGTCAATGAGACATGGAACTGATTAGCAGTAATTGCGCCAACCGCGGTTGACCCGACGGCGGCAATATATTCATTCCTCGCCCCAGCGCCGCAGAGGATCAGAATGTCTATTGCGGAGTCGATGTATGATTTAAAGTAAATTTTCGATTCTTACTACAAATGCTAATGTAGGTCCACTGAGTTCTGTGAGAATCTTGTCTATAAAATTCGGTTTTGGGTTCTTCATGCGACGGCGCTAGTAACAGGTCGTACGACAGTTTTCATTGACTAATTTCTATGTTAGATAACTAACTTTCAGAATGATTACCGGGTGGCAATCCCGTATCGCGAATATTCTCTAACTCCCATTCAAATTTAGGCTCCTACACTTCTCAAGTCACGGTGTGGTGTACACGGTTAGTCTTCACAAAGTAAATGTTTCTGTTAAGACCCCTTTTCTGTTACCATTTCATATCTGTTACGCTCTCACGTAAAAAAATACAATTGCAGGGTGGCAATGGCTGGAGCTGGGTCAAGATGTCTTATTTCAGCTATTGGCGTGTGTAGCTATGCACAGAGAACGTAACTTACTATAATGAGTATGCATTAGCTTACCCCGATATCAACTTGGGTCATTATCAATGACATCGCTGACGTCATCCCTTTTGTGATGCGATACACAATATGTTCCGCAAATTTGATAAACATCACGACTCCAACCAAAGAGCTCGTTAAGTGTCAGTCGGAGGGCGACGAGATAAGTTTAGTACTTATAGATGACTAGTCGGGATAATGATCATCGGCCCCTATTTAAAGCTTTGTCAAGTTTCTTATGGAAAAACCGAGACCCTCTAGCTAGAAGCTTGATTTATCGAAAACGTCAAAGCCTTATAGAATGCTACTCGATTGTGTCATGGATGTCTGTGCGACACTTCGGCACGTCCCCTGATTTCGGTCCCTCATATACCCCTCACTCAAGTGAATTTCAGGACTCGTGAATTTGTGTGCCTGAAGGATCAATGAACATTGTGCATACAATCAAGACTTTAAGGTATGAGGTGGGAGAACAAAGGAGAGGAAAGACGACTCGAATCGATCGATATCACAAGGAAGCAATGTTTCTCAATTTGAAGTCATTCCTTTTCTAATGGCGCGTGTCTTATCACTGAGATCACTCTTTCCATCGTGCTTCCTCTCAATTTCTCCCAAGTCTCCAATTTCTCCCCAGTCTCCAATACTTCAATATGCTCTCCCTGATGTTCTATCATAGTGGACCGATCAGACCTAGTATCATACAATGTTTGATTCTGACGACATTTGTGTCCATCGTATACATTAATCTAGTGAGTCAATACGACACTAGGTTCCCCGAAGAGAAGCCTTGACTCTGTGTATTGCACATTGAAGTTAAGTATACGCGCAATCGGAGTGGCCAGAATTTACATGAGACTGGTAAGTCCAGAAGGCCCCGGAAATCACTGAAAATAACATTAGATTCCTTTGAGCATGATCTGCCTGGACACATCGCAGATTTAGGTCGATACCCTAAGGCAAGCTCTTAATTCCACAAAAGAACGTTTTTTTAGTTTGTATGTCTTTTAGCTTTGAGGCTTGGTTTCCTTGAGGCGGTATTCTGAACTCCATATACCAACCCTGTCTTTAATCCCTAGATTTACATGATAAGAATGGGCCGTCACGGAGATATTTCATTGGCGAAAGAGACCGATTTCGGCAGCCTCTGAATAGCCGTTCTTACCTGCGAGTGGTTCCTACTATATCACTGATTCCTGATGAACTTATTGGATCGAGCGTGCCAGAACGCGTCAAATTGTGTTAAAATGATTGAATGTCAAAGTCTGTTCAAGGACACATCATTTTCAATCTACAGCGATGAATCCCTTCGAATCGCCAAAAATATGTGATCATGCGTATACTTCATCTGCGATGCAAGCAGTCCTTGATGTTCCTGTCAGCATAGAGTAGACCTTAGAGACTCAGGTCGTCATTCTACCGCCTCATTTGGAAGGTGGTGTCACAGGCCCCTCGCTTGGAGGATGTTCGCTGACTTCGCCGCATCGATGAGCCCGCTTCGTGAATCCTTGCGTATTTCGAGACAGCTCAGAGTCTGGCGGGAGGCCCTGTGGTGGTGCATTGGCAGTGTCTGTGACTGGCTGAGGTGAAGCTGGAGTTTCTGGTACAACCGAGAGTTTCGGCTCGAAAGAAGTTGGTTTTGTGTATGGCCAAAGCACGTCGTTCTTCCTGTATACCATGGTCACCGTCCGAGGAGAAAGGTGATCGACCGACCCTTGTGAAAACACAATATCTTGTCGCTTGGTATAGGGTGCTCCCTCAAATCATAGTGAAGGATATAAGAAGAAGAACAGTCTTGGGCAGCAGACTGCTTCCGGTCAGTCAGATGTAGGCGCATTTAAATCAGCATTGCCTGGATAGTGGGAGCAGATGCGACATAGCAGATACTCCTAATTTAGACCAGTTGCATAACTGTTGGTCAATACTGCGCATTCTCCAGCGGGGAATGACCTTTTATTTTCATATTTGAAAGTCTCAATTTCCTATTCGAGGTGTGGGACCCAATTGCGGTCTCATAGATCAAGCGTTGGGTATTTTATATATTCTTCATACTACACCCTCCTTCTGAGTTGCACAAACTTCTTAGCGCGTTGTTTGGTTTGGCTTGGTGTAGAAGAATAAATGTTACAAGGCCACTCACTGCCTAAATTTGACGTATTTGCATGGTTACCTTGAGGTCATGGAAATGCCACACCAAAGCACAGACAAAAATCGATCATCTCAAATACATTTTGATTTCACCGAGCTCCATCAAGTTAGGTTAGCTGGTCTTACGGGTATCTTGGACCATAGAACAAAAAACCACAAAAGACTTGATGACTGCTTCGCAGGAGCATCAAACCTTAAGGTGGTGTCAACCGAAGAATCTATGCACTATTTATAACTTCTCGATACGGGAATTATCATACGATCTCCTCTCACATATTTGATATACATCCTTCATTATTCCTATTTCAGGCACCGACAAAATTAAACTGCGCCCCTTACCTTCGACCAACCATGCATCGGGTTAAAAATCGACGAAGCTTCATACCGAGAGTCCCGAGAACAGAGCCTTCAATGTCAATCTAGAAACGAGCATCAAAAGGTCTCTCACCACCCAAGTGAGTTCCCCGATTCTAGTGGTGCACTGATTTTCTGTCTGGGATAAAGAGGTCTTGTACTACGACCAATCTCGGAATTAGGTGGTTTGATAGCGGTACCAAAGTTTCCCTCACCAGAAGTCAAAATGCCGTGCCTACGCAGCCTTCTTCTTCTGCGGTAATGGCGAGCGATCCAGAACATCCCGGCACCGTAGGCTATGGCGCCGACAACAACGCCAACACCGATGCCAGCAGAACTTCCATTGGCACCAGCAGTGTTTGCAGAACCATCTGTATTACCGAGACCGCCCGTGCCGTCAGGATGATCGTCATCCTTACTGTTTCCAGTAGAGGTACTGGGGTTTGCAGGGCTTTGGGATGTTGAGACTATGAATTTCGATACTGTAATCGTAGTGTATTTTCCAGACAGCATAGGTGATACAGTAGAAGCGGTGGCAGCGGGAAAGGACGAAGCAGTGTCGCTGGCGATTGTGGTGTGGGCGATGGGCACTGAATCTAAAACAGTGGACACGTGTGCCGTCTTCGAGGTTGGTGTGGCAATGTCCAAAGACAAGGAATCTGTTGATGTGAATCCACTTGTTGTAGTTATATTCGTGGCAGAGATATGCAACATCATGTTCCTAGAACCTGAAGTGGTCACTGGAGGTACAGAGGACGTTTTCTCGACACCTGTGGCGGCTAAGCTCGTAGGAATTGTCGCCGGACCTTCAATAGCTGACGGTCTGCTGCTGAGAACAGACGGCTTGGTAGCCGGTCTCCCTGTGGAGTTATGCATAGAGATCGTGGGAACGTGTTCTGATTCATAAGCTCCAATCACGAGTAATGAAGTAGCATCACCGACGCTGTTGGTGACTTCGTTGGTAGGAGTCAGAATTGCAATAAATACCGAGTAAGAGCTCTGTGTCGGGATTGTGCTAGCCAGTATAGCCGAGATGGGTGATTTGACGAAGGTAGTCATTGGATACTCGGATATTCTTGCAGTCGGGCTAAATGGTCTCGAAGTTCTGATAGTCGGCCTGAGCAAGATCCCTATAGCTTCTTCTTCTTTCTCTTTTTCCCCTCCAGCTCTTGAGATCCTCGAATACCGCGCAGACAGTTAAATAAGAGTTTATGAGTCCTTCTAAAACTTTCCTAACTGGCGTACAACATTTACGATAAAGTATACCCAAAGCTGAAGGTGATTGCCGTTCAAATGGGAATTACTAGCCATCCGAGGACCAACGTGGTCTTAGGACTGAAAAATTATCTCGTCAGAGGCCACAACAACATTGTAAATCCGATTCCTAACTTACCTATAATTACACCGAGCCAGCATTATAGCCAGATTTGCACCAGGTTTATACCAGATCCGCAGCCAGTATCGTAGCCAGATCCGCAGTCAGTATCGCAGCCAGATCCGCAGTCAGTATCGCAGCTAGTAACGCAGCCAGTAATATAGCCAGTAACGTAGCCAATGACGTAGCCGTCGTACCCAGGAACGCAGCCAGCGTCGCAGCTAATAAAGCAGTCAGATCCGCAGCCAGTATCGTGCTAGATCCGTCGAGTCTAGCTAATTACAGGCTAGCGTCACTGCCACAGAACCAAGGTTCGGTCTGTGGGTCACATGATTTGTACTTCGCAGACCGCTATGGCAGAACCCCTTCCCCTAGGGAAAAAAAAATACTATTTTATGCCCCCCCTCCTTTAAGCGTATATCCTAGAAGTAAAGAAGTTAGCCTAAACTATTGTTGTTATGTCTCTGAAGAGACACAATTAAATAAAACCTTAGCTTGACCGTTTTTGAGGAGCTTTTTGACGCATGATCTTGAATTTTCTCCCCCGTGTCTTCCAAAGTATCCTAAACACAAGCAGTGAGGGGCCTGAGGGCGGCAAGCTGTTGTGGACGGATGCACGTTAGGTCATCTTCGTGATTTGATTGCAAATTGGACGGATGCACGTTAGGTCATCTTCGTGATTTGATTGCAAATTGGAGCGGAATGAGAAATTGCTTTCCATGTAAGTGCCTGGAATTTGATTCCTGCGCTCTGATTAGCTGGCTGTGGCAGAATTGACCGCCCCTAAAGTTATATCACGTGATGTCTTCCAGATGTTTGCTTTGTGATTCTGTGATCAGTCTTAATCTCCTCTCGCATCACGTGGTCCTTATGTCTCGGCTCTCGGGTGACTTATCACGTGACTATTGTCTATATAATATCAACAGTTGATATCATATGTAGAGGTGGGAATACGGGCCCCCATCGGCAAAGCCGCAAAACGACCCTACCCATGGATACCCATGAATCTTCGGCACTTAGTTATAGTTACTTGATTACATGACTATTGGAGTTCAACCTTAGTTGAACCTGCGGGAAAGGGTTCAACTACTTCTTGATACAAAGATTACAGAGTGTAAGAGAGACGTTATATACCTCTATATAGCCGACGTGTTTGTATTAGAACTGTGAGATTTTTAACATTCAGAGTTAACTAATATACTGAAAGATTATAAGTAATTATACTAAGTTTCATAATTATACTAAGTTTCAGTGTGGTAACTTATTTCTTGAGTGTGGCGGTCGGCTGGTGGCAGTGGTGGACTAGAGGTATACATGTCTTTGCGATCGGAGTCAAAGTCTCTCAATGTACCCGAAAGTCTCTAGGTGATAGGGTAAGCGTGGATTTCAAGCTTCATCTTTAACACCTTCATAGAATTAGTATCTAGTTAATCTTATTCAATACATAGTATATATATACTATAACTAGATATAATTGCTATCTAAAACTAGATTTTACCTAGAGATATTAGAGGCGGTATGAGTCTATGACTAGATAACTAAATACCCCAAAAACACCTTCCGTTTTGGGAACTTGAGTTATTCTGTTATAGGAATCAGCCGGGCTTATTAACCAAACAAGCCGATATAGTTAGTTAACTAAGTATCGCGACGTCATGGCTTGCGGCTGGCTACGGCCCCGCACAGCCACCAAGCCCGCAATCCGTCGTAACATACGCATGGGCCCTATGGCAAAAATATAATACCCACAGGAATAACCGTAGGCGGTAGGCCCCATAGTCAAAACCTAAATTCTGACCCAAACCCAGGTACCCATATGGGCTCTATGGGTATTCCCGCAAGTTGATAATCGTCTTTACTTGCGTTATAGTCTTAAAGATTTATGATTTAATTTGCGTTAGCCGTTGGCCCGTTGATGGGGGTCTACGGGGGTCTCCCCCGTATATAGAGTTGAGAATGTTGATATAATCGGTAGATATCAGAGTACCCTACAACAATTTGCACTTCTTGCTCCTCGCATTCGAAGGGAGGGGCGGCACATTTATAATCTTATATTCTTTTAGCGACTCTGCCGCTCACGATAAGCTTATATCGGGGACGAGATGTATCTCAAAGATTTCACTACCAGCCACGCTATTACAAGGAGTAGCCGATACCTACTGCACGACTCCGCCATACATACCGTGCCTTCGACAAGGAATGTCTGGTCATACATCCCGGACTGGGTCCACGAGAGCTGGGAACCTCCTCTTGTTTCTGGTGTAAGAAGCCCGCCCAGTACGTCCGACTCGGTGACGACTAAAATTCTGATCAAGCATTTCCTCGAGGTGAACGACGTCTATACATCTTATTTCGGAGCTTGGCGAGGCCCTGATTTGATACACGATTCCACTGATCTTTCGCAGATCATGAGATATATCGGACGGCGGTTAAATGTCATATGCAGGACACAACTAGAGATCAAGGTCACTGCTTTCAACTCGGACCTCTCTCCAACCTGGGTACTTTCCGAACGGATTCAAGGCTCAGCATACCCCGTTGCAGTCTGCCATGAGCCAGTTCGGTTCTTGCGCGAGTAAGTTATTGAGAAATGTCGTGGAGACGGTTTACCGTTCATTCAGGTTGTTTTTTGTTTGCATGGCATGTGATTCTGCCACTCACAACAGTCTATAGCTTAGGTAGAATACACGTCTTCCACCCCTTCTTGTAGGCTGGTCCATCGCACCCTCATCGGCATTTGGTAGATATAAACTTGTGGGAAATGCAAGAACTTCTCAAGCTCGGTGAAGAGTAGTCTACAATACTATAGGAATTTGATACATCTCGCTACCTCTTTGGAATTGCGAGGCGTCGATTAAATTTCAATACGAAGGTGGTCGTATTCGCAAACGAGGGCGGGGTGTCCCGATCGGCGGATCACTGCTGACGCCTTCTGTGGCCAGCAGTATCTCAATTACCCCCTGTTGTTCTTCTGCCATAGCCCAAGCTAACGGTGTCATTTGTTTGTGGTGAGGCCCGCCATACTGCCTGGCACACACATGGGCTACGCCCTCAGCACCTGGGATCACCAACCTCAGTAGTCTAGCTTAGCTTCCTTATTCCTTCTCTCTTTCTCTCTTCAACGTCGAGTGTTTTCACCTTTTAGGTTTTCCTTCGTAGGATCCTGCAGTCAAATATCATTCCTTCAAGATCTTCAGAGTCTAGATGAACCCCTATCACCGCGAGTAGCAACTTGACCGTATCTGTAAATCCCCTCTCTGCTGCTAGCGATAATGCTGTTCGTCCATCACCATCCCTTGATTCTGGGTCAGACCCGTTCGTCAGCAGCAGCTTAACTACCGCCTCGTGGCCGTTGCCTGCGGCCCAGCATATTGGAGTTTCCCCTCGTGAGTTCTTGACATTCGGATCAATGCTCTCAAGGTCCAGTAATAGTTTGACCACGCGCTCTTGACCGTTCCCAGCCGCTAGTGACAGTGGTGTTTCTCCTGTGAGAGTCCTCGCGGATGGGTCAACGCCGGCAGTTGCGAGCAGCCGCTCAACTACATCCTCATGCCCTCTGTATGCTGCTAAACAAAGAGGTGTCTCTTCCCTTGAGGTTGGAGAGTCTGGGTTGATTCCCTTCGTTGTGAGAAGTAGCTTTACTATCTCATCATGGCCGTTCCATGCTGCCAGAGATAGCGGAGTCTTTCCATCTGAGGTTCGAGACTCTGGATCAATGCCAACCGTCGCGAGAAGCAACTCGACTGCCGTCTCGTGGCCGTTAAAAGCTGCCCATGAAATGGGTGTCCACTGAAGTTGAGATCGAATGTGGACATCGGCTCCTTCGGCTATGGATTTCTTGGCTGTTGCCTCTTGTCCATGTTTTGCAGCCCACAGAAGAGAGGAACTTCCATTTTGTCCCACATCGTACCTATAAAGATAGGTATTGAGAAGGTTGTACAGGCGAGCGTTGGTTTGAGCGAAAAAATTCAGGTCTCTTTGAAGTACCAAGTAACTGGTAACAAAGAGTAGCAGCTCGTCAGGTAAACGAAGAAGCGCCATTTGAATGTTGCAGTTTGCTTAAATATAAACAGAACGTTTATTTTATTGTACAAGAACAAAAATCAATTTAGAAGGAATCATGTAAGACAAATTGAGGAAGAATGACCTCCCAAGCTTCATGTACCAAATCACACTGGTTGCGTGGATCACCATACAGTCAAGTACGAATGCAGGAACATTGATGCTCCGGAGCTATTCCGTGTATGAACCGGCTAGACTTGGCATTCCGGATGAGGAAGCAACCGAAAGATGTAGACGATTATGCGAGGTCGTCATAGCTCCTGAAGCTTCCACGTAGTCCCAAGCGACATTACAGTATTACGGTGACTCATGTACGATGCAAAGCCTTTACTATCAATGTTTTGCCAGACATATAGAGCGGCAAGCTAAAGAAGATTAGCGTGTGTCGAATTTATTTTCCGGGAATGAAGTCGCAAGAGTGTGGAGGTATAACTGATTTCGAAAACCACTGTATCTGCCAACGGAGATTACTCCTCTTTGTGAGCCTTACAGTAATGTGATATAGTATAGGTCTTTCTCCTTACCGTCTTTTGTAGGTTATCCACTTTCTCTTTTTCTCTATGCGTGGAAAGTATCTGTCTTATCTACTCGCAGATCACTAATCTAAGCTTCCCCACTCTCTTTGATTTCTATACGTGGATCTAGCTTATCAATATACATCATAAGGCCGGGACCGCTGCTTTAGGACTAAGGTCAGTTAGTAACTATTCCTTACTTTTGAATGTATAGAGACTGTTGTACCACAGAAAAACAAACTAGGCATTCTTAATAGACACATAGAAAGGGAAAATCCTATACCCAGCCTTTTGCAATCCGCCACGCGAGAGGCATGTGTATCCTAAAATTTGATGACAATACCTCATACTCCGGGAAAAGTGAAGAGTTATTTTCATGATCCTCTTCTCGGCCAACTTGAGAGGATATAGGGTCGTCAGCGCGGCAACCTACGGTTATGTCCGCACGGAGTGACGCGAGCTTGGGTTGAGTGCCGTCAGTTCGTCGACGACATAATAATACTTGGCTTTGAGACCCACATTTTGGTCTACATGACTGCGTTAAGACAAGGTAACTCAGTGACGATAGCCTTGTCACGCCGAATATGCGGTTTGCTAGAAGATGGAAATCCTGTATGTCTGCATGGGTAGCCTCACGCGGCAGGCGAAGATCCAGTACACGAAGCGGGGATTCAGCCAATAATTCCATATACTAGGAATTCTGCACTATGTTAGAGAGAGATACGTACTTTGAAAATACAGTATCACTTACTAGAACAAAAGTTAACACATCTAGGGCTAATGCTTCGATTACCCCGTACGTCCAAAGTTCTTATAACTTAAACGGTATAGCGTGGAGTATATCTTCGCTTATATAGCCTATAGGATATAGGAAACCATCAACCATAGAATATAAGCAATCAATATAGGCGAGGAACGTTAGAGTCTGCGCATATTAGTAGATGCCTTTGAATAGGTCTTCAAAAATCTCCCCGGTAAAGCTCGCTAGCTAAATTTCCAGATATCGTAGTCCTTGAAAAGACACCAAAAATCGCCGCAGCAAGTCTGCTTACTGCCTTAAGTCTTAACGAGATTTTGAGCGTATACGATAAAGTTCAAATCCACTAAGTCTCCATTAATGCTTTTGCTTAGTCAAAGACTCCAGTAACGTCAACTCGGTCGAGCAACATCCCAGAGATAGATAACGAAGGGATTAAACCATTAAAATATAACAATCAGTCGGGTCGGCAAAGTATAGTCCGCTAATATTTTCATCCGTAGAAATTGTATTAAGAGGATCAAAACTATTCGCATTAGCAGACATCCGACAACGCTCTATGATAGTCAAGATCTTATCATAGATTAGCTAAGGAATTTCGCAATTTACCCTCCAGCTATAGGTCTATTAGCCAATAACCAACAGCTATAAAGTTCAACTACATTATAATAGCATACCTGATTAATCGGATTCTTGTGTCTCTGAGTCTCAGAAGAATTCCCAGGAGAGCTTCGACATGGCTTTTATCTAAGACACTAGATATAGCCACGACCTCTAGATATCTAAGTCGCCGAAGGTATTATACGAGGTATAGACTGCTCGAAAGCATTCGAAGGATAGCAGTATAATCCTTGCTGATATCTGCTATAATACTATCAAAGAGACAGGGAAACCCCATATAGCGTAACTGCATACAGGATCCCAGAAGTCTGATATGATCCCATGGTGGCAACTAGAAGTCCATCAGTAGAAATCTTCACATGATCGTACTTTCGGTTCGCATACACATTGACAAATATACTCGATCAACTCCAGAGGGAGAGCCAGGAGATACATCGCCAGTCGTCAAATAACGTAATATACTTCAACCCCGGCCTGTCACTGTTGATTGAACGCTTGTGAAAAAGAAGATAGCTAAAGTAACTTCACAAAGGCAAAATCAGATTCACTCTTATATAGCATTTCGCGTGATTTATAGCATTAATAGATAAAGTAAAACTGCGATTACAAGTGTTACGATATAATATCAACGGCAGCAAAGAATAGGCTCATAGTAACTAAGAGAGTAGATAGATATAGGAAACTAAGAGAAACATCATCTATCATTACGGTTATAAATCGCTTACATAGTATGAAAATTCTTGAACGTTCGTTTTTTCCTCCCTTACAGACGCCCCCTCAAGTAAGGATAGGGTACATTATATATTATATATTATATTGAATGGTTTTACCGAGCTATATACGGTTATCACTTACTTCAGTGTCTATACGCACAATATTAGTGTACTTATCCTTTTCCCGGGTGACCACTACATGGATATACTTTCCAGCGCCCGCAATAACCGCGGACGTTAGTTATGATAGCGAGGAGGAGTTAGCTTCTGGCGATTGGTAGTACTAAGAATTTGAGAGCAAGCGGAGGTTTGACTCATAGGTAATTAGCTAAAGATTCACGAAGTCATCCTCAATTCTTTACAGGAGGTCTAGGACCCTAGGATCAAGCGGAACATCACCGTCGAAGTACCAGTCCTATCGTAGCCCAATAAACCGGCCGAAGTAAGATCTTCTGGACTTGATGTTCTGAGATACACTATCACTATAGTCGAGCCATGTCGGTGCATAAACCATATAGGAAAATGTCTCGATAGTAGGTGGATAAACTTAGTAGAAATGGTATACAAGACTATTTAGTTAGTCGGAAGTGAGAAGACAGTAGCCGAGGATATTCGTAGGGAAGTCATCATGATACTTACCCGTATCGCAAGATACTAACGGATATAGCGGCGATCGAAGAAAGTGTAATAGGTAAACAAAGTCATTATAAACTTCCAGATGATTTAAAGCTAGTGAAGGACTTAGACGGATTAAACCCTCTGCTAAGGTCCCTCGTATCTGCTCAGGGCCTTAACTAACTCTACGTTATTACATAGCAAGACCTATACGAGATACTATTTTACCCTCGAAGGCTAAAGGCATAAAGTTAATATATTACCACAAGCTTAGCTAGAATACTGATTTTCGTTCCGTTCGATCGGTCGTGTTAATTCCAGAACAGGAAGCGTATACTACTTATAACTAGATAGAGTAGCGTTACGTATTTAGATACGCATAACTTTTAGTTAGCGCTCGCCTAACGGCTATTCGATTAAGGCTATATAGTTTATACAGCTAGATATAGTATTAATAAACTCCTTTAGTCTTTTTCTCTGTCTCTCACTCACATTCTCTACCATAATACAGCCTATTAAGACATACAGTCAATAGACTAATCTTACGCCTAACCCATACCTCTTGAACAATTATACTCGCATACTTTAGCACGAGAGTAAATACTAGACATTTCACCTTCTCTACTATATTACGCGACCTTCATAGACAAATCAAGCTAGAACGATAGACCAGGCTTCACGTATTTATCTCTTGCAAATTTAGTCCAAGTCTAAATTTAGCACAATCCTCATCTAAATTCAGGTATTAATAGTCCGTAATCCTCGACTTAACAGGGGCTAACATTAATCATAAAAAAAGGGAAACGCATCATTACTAAGATTAAAGACCCTCGCAAAAAAGAAATCACGTTTAAAAAAAGAGGGGACAGTCTTTATAAAAAATACTCGGAATTAGCCGTTCTCTGCGGCCAAGAGGTACATCTCTTTCTGCGAGACAGAGCAACCGGAAGACTACGGTCATTCTCGTCTTCAGGCAATAAGAGTTTTCAGCCAGATTAGGCAAAGATCAGACCGGAAGATCGGAAGAGTTACCGAGATATTAAACGTCACTATAGTAATTCAAATCCGATCAACCTAGATAGGAAATCCAAAGATCCAGCGGCAACGCAACCACAGACATATAGAAGGGAAATCACTTCGAAATCGATTCCTCACGATGACTCCTTGTCTCACCTGCCCTATCCGCCTAGCGCGGTCTTCTTCAAGCTTCTTCGCGATTCTATTACGCTAATAGATACATTAAAATCTCGTACCAAACCTCCCAGTTTCACAGAAGCGACCGTGAATCCCTTCGACCTAGAGCTAAGTCGATTTTGATCACAGAAACCAACAAGTAGATAGTGTACGTTTCACTGCAACCATATCCCTTCGAACCTGCTCACGCAAATTGTGCTAAGCTCCCATAGTCCCTAACCAACCGCTATTTACGTAAATCAACTCCAGAATTTAGTAGACATATCCCTCTGGTCCATATACCCAGAATTCATATACTCTATACACTATTCAAACTAGGAATGATGTCTTATTTTTGTTCTTGCGGAAAGCTCTGATGGTATTCTGTATGCTAATCAAAGATTTTCTCGTACCGCCTATTATATACTAAGCGTATCAAGGACGTAATATAAGATTCTACTCTAGAAATTCCTCACGGGGGCCTAGCTTGTAAGAAGAGAAATCAGTTAGATGCTGATGAGTGTTGAAGACCAAGTAGGGTTCGGACCGAGGCTTGGCAAGTTGCGGCAAGTGCCATGCGGAAGGAGTCACGTGGGCCTGAACGGCCGCGAGTCGAGAACGTCATGACTCAACGAAGGACTCGCAGATTCCCCAGAAGATAAATTACTAGGTGAAGCCGGCCTGGAGGGAATCAAGAGTCAGAGTTGTCATCCACGCACAGAAGTTCAAGTACTCTGTAACTCGTAGCTATCGTCTCTGTACCTTATTCCTATGGTTCCCTGATCGCTCCACTCCGAGTAACTTGCATACGACCCAGTCCCCCCTCGGGTCAAGTCCTATTTGGGATTTGTCCTTACATAGCTCGTAGGGTGGTCATAAACCGGATAAACTGGAATTTACCGGTTTCTCTTGATTTTAAAAGACCTCAAACCTCATAGGGTGGAGGTCATGCGGTGGCGAGATCGATTTAACTTGTTTACGATTGAAAAATACTTGACTAACTATACTATAACAGTTTAGTTCGGTACTTTCACCCTATGATCCGTAACCCTATAAAATCAATATAGAGATTGTATGAGGTGGTAAAGGTGGTATTAAGTTATATCAGGCTATAATAGGTTATATGATTCTAAGTTGTCGTATTACTTAAATTTAGTAGTAAGTGATTTAATACTTCTGAATTCGTTATAGGATCTACTAGATAATCTTAGTAGACTTCGGTGATTATTCTGAATTTTATTAAAGATTTATTAATTTATCATATTACGAATAATATAATAGAATTATAAGAAGAAAAATCAGTACCGTCTTATTAAGTATTGGGAGCTCGGGTAAGCTTGGTTGGGAGCTTGGAAAACGGGACCTAAGGATACCTAGGATGGGTCACGTGTTCCGCGGTAGCCGCAGCCGGCCGCAAATCAAGGACGTCACGACTGAACGAAGGACTCGCAGATTCCCAAAGGATCAAATATCGGACGAAGACAGTCTATAGGGTGTTGAACATAACAAGAGGACTTGGGTTGCGGTCTTGGATTTCTTCTGCAGAAGAAATCAGTCCCGGAGGGCAGGGGCACACCCACCACGTGTGCCACGCGTACTGTTACGAGTTGACGGGAGTTAGCGGACTTGGACTGCGAACTTGGATTTCTGCTACAGAAGAATTCAGTATCGGAGGGGAGATACCGTTACCCACGCGCACACCTTAAAAACCTGGGATGTACTGTAGCTTCTTCTTCTTTCTCTTTTTCCCCTCTAGCTCTTGAGATCCTTAACTATCACGCAGACAGTTCGAATGAAAGTTTATGAGTCCTTCTGAAGCTTTTCTTAAACTGGCGTACAACACCAGCCATAGCGACGTGAAGCGGTTGCGACGGCGGGGGATATACTTTACTCTCGCTTATGGTAGGTGGATCAGATGTCAGAGTAAAGCTAGGAGTATAAGTAAAATACGGTTCGAGTTACCTCTTACATATTTCTTCAATCTTTTCATGCGAACGAGGATCCCCAGACTCTAGAAGAACGGTCCTTTCATTCTTCTATTCTTAAATCCTCCCACTCGAGGCACAATTCTCTGATAACCATCAAGGAATTCCCTCGTTGATCAGTTATATGTTTCTTTAGAGATATATTCATATTTAAATACCTAAGAATATACGATGCGATAAGTCCTCTTTGATTACAGTTGAAATTCTGGCGTACTCACCTCGGCTTCGAAGTTATCCCTCAACCTTTTCAATACTGTCCATGTTTGAAGTATATACTCTGCGTCAATAGCGGAGAGACGCCGATTCTGTCTAAGTCGTCATATACCACCCCGTGTATTACCTTGCGAATGATTTCAAACATGCCTAGAACCAATGAAGCTGAAGTGATAGGGATGTGAAGCTATCATAAGTATGTAGAAAGTCTCACAAAAGCCCGAACTCTCGATTCACTCCGTAAAGGTCGAGATATTGATCATGCCAAAAGACGAGTACCTCCAGTCTGAATTCGTCGAAATCTAGTTCTTTAATAGAGCTAACAATAAAATTCTTTAGCACGAGGCAGCAATCGAGAGAACGGTCAAATTCACCGGGCCAAGCGAGATCTTCGGTAATAAGATATTTTAGTCGCTGGAAGAATGATGGACCTCGAAGGGGGTCAAGTCTTTGCTCGCGGTCAAACCCGAAAAATATTAACAGCAATCTGCTTTTCAATAACACTCTTATCCTCACTATTATATTAGACGGTCTCGTTTCTGTGAGGCCTATACTATCATCACCTTTAGTATTACTTTGAACAGCGACTGGTCGCCAGCACGGCACAGATAGCTACATAGTACTTAAGCCAAAACTGGGAGATAACAAAGGGGAAGTGTTAACGGCGTGCTTATTGAGGCTGAGCTCCAAACGTAATAGCCTATTCTTTCTTTCGTTATCTATAAACGGGCAAGGTAGCTATTGATTCAGCTCGGCCTCGCCGCCCTCGCGTATATTTAACTATAAGAATTCATTAGCTTTTTTGATATAGAGGTAATTAGGGCAGTAGCTTTTCGTTATATAGAACTCCATTAATGGCTATGTTTTTAACTTTCCGTGAGGCAAAGATTATTGTTAACTAAATAGCGCTCTGTGTAAAGAATCAACAAAATCAATATATCATAAGTAAACTAATAGGTCTGGAGCTCTTAGGCGTTGAATTTTCTAAATAAAGACATTAGCGAGAACGCTCCGAAATCACTACTCAACAACTGAAATAAAAGACCAATCCGACTCGTGTAGTACACCACCGACCGATATATCTTACAGAACTGCGGAAGAGCACTAATATAAACAGTGACGAAACAGCTCACGATAAGATAGAGGAAGAGACGCATTTCTACCAACGTCCAGAATATTCTAAGAGCGATAATAAAAGGATTAAGCACGACAGATCTCAGGATCTTACATATTTAAATTCTATAATCCTACTTTATTTACAAAAGCTCAGAGAGCTATAAATAGTATAAGCATATAGAGTGATACCGTATAGCCTTATTTCTATATAGCCCAGGCTAGTCTTCAAGAATCCTCTTATTAAAATAATAGAGGGTATTAGATTAACGTCTACAGTGTTCCTACGTACGCGTTCGAGTTATAGATTCCATCTAGGCACACATCTGAAATATCTCGCGAGGCTATACCGGACAAGATAACCCCTCCGTCACGTAAAACAGTAAAACGCTAACGACCTACGCCCATCGGGCATCTGTGGGCACTAATTCCTGATGGTACGCTAAGCGTGGTTGATCGCTCCCCTGATTGAACGATAATTTATGCGGGTGACTAAAGGAAAGTAACAATAAAGACCTCGTCTTTCAAAGTCTCGTAACCGGCTGGTACATTAATACTCAGTCCAGTAGATACGCTAGTCATAGCACATTCTGCGCTCTTTTTTGTAGTTCGATACCAGTAAACGATGCTATCCTTTTCAACTAAGTAATTAGGAATTTCTAAGGATCCAGCTTTATACGCGCTAATAAATGGCTTTATCATATTTAGCCACCCGTCGTGCGGCCTATCCTTTATCAGTTCGGGAAACCAGAATTATATTACAGCGGCGGAGCCTTACATACCTACAGTCCATCGCGAAGAACCGTCATCTGTATGAAGCGATGAAAGAGGTCCAATATAATACGATTCGCCATAGTCATTCCAGCTAATTATCTCGACAAACTGGGGCCGCAGGTGTAAAATCTCGACCCAGCGATCATACCACAAGAGATCGGACGGAAAAACCCAGTTCTTATTTAGGGGACTATCTGAAAACTAAGTAGAAAACCAAGGTGAAGCCGCTACGTTAAATCATTAGCAGTCGCACTACAAAGCTCTCTTAAATTAGCTTACGTACGATATATAGCTTCCCGTTCAACTCTTGATTATACATTGTGTCTCCTTCGCGAACGGTAATATTATAAGTAGGGGTTAGGGCTTAGTTATCACCATTACTAGGCCAGGCCATCCAATTAAATACACCGTCTATTATATTAAAATCTCCGACATCAGTATAGAAGTTTAGGGCGAAAAATATATCCAGACCTACGGCTAATCGAATAGACTCAACATTGACGCCATCACCTACAAAGGAAGACACGAAGACCTTCCCATCAAGTCGGAGCTATACAGGCTGATTAGCGTACTATCTTACCTTAGCACCTATTTCATTTCCTTGTCCTATCCCCCAGTAATTAAAATCGAACGATAAGAATAATTTCATCTCATTATTAGCAGCAGACTCATACGCAAATCCAAGTTGCTTATCAGTAAAAGAATCTGTGCCAATATTCATAGCGAATACATCTATACCTGCCTCTCTCGCTCGTCTCATATCGCCGTCGTAGTCACTAACGCTTTAGCGATTACTCGTGATCCCGGTCTCGTATATTTATGTCAGCATCATGCTACCGCCTAATCACTCCAACTCACCATAAAATAACAGAACACGAGCTTATCCATCACGCCTCCGCCACTAGCTATCGTTATTTCCTCGCGACTTATCAACATCGGGATATTGTGAGAGATTGCGTTCAGATACATAGGTTTCCTAGCTATTCGAATAACCCGCAGGCACGTTCTGTTATCGGCAAAGGGAAACTTAGTAAAATAAGTACTAGTCTACCAAGAAGAAAGAAATTTTTTTCAAAAATAGGAAATCTACCCCGACTCTATATCTGTTGGGTAGGAGTCCATCCAAAACGGGTAAACTACTTAATTAGCACTTCGTGTAAGAACCATAATCAGCACGCTCTAGATCGTGAAACAGCCTTTATCTAACAGCTTTTGGCCTCCTACCACTTATGTCAAAAATACCTATCAAGTCAGGAGAATACGATCATCTAAGATTCAATAGTTTCAAACACAGGAAGAGTTCAACCAAGGACGTCTTCTACAGATAACTAATAAATTACAATACCCTCGCTACGATAAATGTTTTGGGATTCTCTGGCCTTCGGACAGAGTAGCAGTACTCGATCGCCTGTGTTCGCGTGATATTTAGTAGTACTTCAGGTAAATTTTACAGTCTCGTTCTGGCCACTGTTATACGCTAGTTAGGAAAGTTTTAGAAGGACTCATAAACTCTTATTTAACTATCTACGTGGTAATCGAGAATCTTAAGAGCTAGAAGGGAAAAAAAGAAAGAAGAAGAAGCTACAGTACATTCAATATAGTACGCGTGGTTAACGGCATCTTCCTTGGTGCGCGTAGTTCACGGTATCTCCCCTCCGATACTAATTTCTTCTGCAGAAGAAATCCAAGTCCGTTACTCTCTCATATTCTCAACAGCCACAACATACGTACCGCCGCCACCATATATATCCCTTCGAACCCGCCCAAAATTGAGGTACTTTAGAAGACGACGCCAGCATAGTCGACCAGCAGCTCTCAGTTTTTTAATTTCAGTAAGAAGTAAAATTAATCAATCTCTAACTCTATACTATTTTCCCTCTACCCATGTTTATATAGTATATGATTCTGCCACTCACCACAGTCCATAGCTTAGGTAAAACCTCTCCCCCTCAGCAATCTCACTCCTCATCCATCTCACACATCAGTCCTGCTATACCTACATTAGCCGTATCTCATCATTATCCATATAACGCATAGTCAAAGCTAAATTACGAGTATACAAATTTACTTTAGCTAAGAATTATACCGATTATCCCCAAGTAAGTAGGTTACTATACCTCCATATCCAATATCTCGTTATTGTGAATCATTAAGCTCGGCAAGACTTTACTTAGTAATGATTTTGCTACAAATATCTCAACTTGTTATCAGTATATAGCACCTCTTGCATATATTATCCAGGGACTGCGGGTATACACGGAGAGGTAGGCGTTTAGCAAGACTTAGCACCACGTCGACTACATAAATATAAACACTGATATACTGTAATTTCTGCTCTACAAACAGCCTAACAATCTAGAGCTACTCTGTTCAATAATCGATATTAGAAGCCCGAACGCCGTAATGCTTCATCAACCCCAGTCAGCCATCATATTCCGCATTATAGTTTAGTCATCGAGCTGCAGATAGCCCAGGGATCAACCGGAGTAAAGGCGGGCCCAGCTTCGCGATAAGTCGTAATATAAGGTACGAGAATTAGGAGGGAGGTCCGCCCCCTCACAGCCACGCACTCGCGCTATCCGGCCGCACAGGATCATCGAACACGCTCCGATAGACACTTTCGATCTCACCAAGGTAGTCCCCCACGCTAAACTTCTTCAGCCCCTTACGCTATAGAAGAATCTCTTCCTCATCCGTAACATAAGTAGCGCCAAATTCTTCGGCTACCTTATCAATTTAAGCTAGCTCTTTACTAAATAGATAGTTATCCGCAAAAGGAACATCCTGTGAGGCACGGATAGTCGGGTCACTACACGGGGCTACTAATAGCGGGGGCGACATCCCGTACTACGAGCGCTAGCGAGCCAACTCTTGGTACGACCGCTTCGTATAAGACAAGGCCCGCTAAGAAATCAAAGGGGCGTCGTTAGACGAACGAGACTAGCTAGTTACGGTCGCGGAGCGCTTAGGGAAATAGGATCCAGCATTATTATTCACGGGGAAAGGGTTACTTAGCGACTCATCAGGAGTAGTGATCGAGGAGTAGCTCTAAGGGGATCCCGTGTCAAAATCGTCTCCCGATCACAGCGGGGAAGATAAGGAAGAGGTATAGGATAGGATATCGGGTACATCGTATACTAATATATCGGTCGTGGAGATCAGCTATATAGGGCCTAAGATATTACTACGCTTAATAGAGCCGGACTTAAACCGCATATACCCTTCCTTACGATAGGGCATAGGGGCGGACACCTCCGGTCGCTTACTCCGTTTAGTAGAGGCGCGAGTCAGAGTCGACACGTTAACACGTTAACTTAGGTCAATTAGTTAGTAAACATTTTAAATTAGTTCTAAATGGGGGCAAACAACTTGACGGCGACCCTATGACTTAACAGTTTACATCCTTTTAGGCTACCTACCTTATACTAAAGATCTAGTACCGCGGTTCGCGGGGGTATAGTACTAAGCCCACTTTGACTCGCGGAGTAACACCTACCTACCTTCCGCCAGGAACATAATATAACGGACATTCCTTCTACTGTTAAAATATCTCTCCTTCTACATACATTAAAGCTTCCCATTCTACCACAGCCAGCTAATTAGAGCATAGCAATAAAATTCCAAGCACTTATATAAGAAGCAACTTCTCGTTCTACTCGAATTTGCAATTACTTAAATAGCTTTAGTAGACTAAGAGGGATACCGATTAAGTCTTCACTAATTTACAAATACTAAGTTACTAGACTATCCAATATATCTATTAGTTATAATAGAATATCGGAACGCATACACTTATTCTTCGGATCCACGTCGGATCGGGAAAGAGTCTTATAAGGACCAACGCAACGACCACAGGGGGAAACTAAACAATAACCGCCCTCCTCGATACATTAGTATAAACGGTTCCTGGTGATAGATATCTTTGAAAATACGCTTACAGCAGTAGTATCGCGAAGAGACGACGGTATAAATAAAAGACTAGCATCCAGAGGGCTAATACTAGATACGGACTTTCGTAGTCAAGTCTGGGCTCCTCAGACTCTCGACTAACCTAACCGGTATTAAACACCCGTCAATACAGTAGTTAGCTCAGATCTTTAGTCCTACATAATATAAGGAGCCTAATACCTAGTAGGTAGAAAGATCCACCGGACTCCTCTCGGTTTAAGTAATACACTGAAACGCTCACCGTCAGGCATTATCAAGTCTCCCCTATCATTATATTATCTCTAAATCTTTTTTGCGAATTTAAACTAAATACCGAGTCAAAAATAACACTCATATTCATCTGGGAGGGTGCTAACGCAGGCCAAACTTTTGAGGTTAGAGTCTGGGTCAATCATTATAGAATATCAGGTCGCGATCATGATACACTGGTCCACATATATATCGAGCACCAGGTATAATATAGTACCACCATCACTTCTTGAAGGCTTTCATTGTACCCTCGAGTCAAATGGACGAGTAAGGTAATCCGTAAACGATATAAAGTAGAACACAAATCTATTCTCTTTTCTCGTGATCAGAGGGATACTTAACGCGAGGTTCAAATCTATCGTAAATTTCTTACTTTCAGGGGTTAATAGACCTTCATACCGGCACTATCGCGCGCGCTACGATATAGTTCTAGAAATACACTTTTGGTTTTTGCCGACGGTATAGCAAGACCTTAGCGTCTCATTCAGATATCCTCTTATTTTTAAGTCCTTTGTCTCACAGGAGAGAGGTTTTCGCTTAGACGACGCTACCTTAGTAAAATAACCCTCGTAGTAGCCACCCCTTCCGATATTAATTCTAAGAATTTACTAGTCGAAGCAAAAACTCTACTAAATTTTCAAAAAGGAACCTATAATCACATAATTTAATAAATTACTTATATATCTAGAATTATATAATTATACGAGTAACGAGAGAAAAGTTAGTAGCAGAGACCGCTTATATCTTAAAACTAACTAAGATCTATTCTAGTACTTATAAGCTCGGTTCGTAAGTACTACTATTTTATTATTACCGTATATAGTACTATATAGATTAAGTCACGCTTATAACACGATTATTATCCGGTATAAATAGTATACGCTTACCTAATACCTATATCTTCGCCTATATAGTAGGAATAACCTAGCTAGAGAGAGCGGTAAATTATCCTACGATAAGAATACTAGACTACCGTAAATACTATAGTATAAAGATTAAGTAAGTTCTATTAGCTAAGTTTCTCTAGCTATATAAACTAATAATTAAATAATAGTTTCTACTAAAAGTAATAATTAGATAATCCGAGGAGCTTATCGAACGTTACTTCCGCTATTATACTTACTCGGTCGTTTACTCCGCGAAGATCTAAGTTATTAGGAGGAAGTAGAAAAAATACAAAACCTCTACTACTATAAAGAGGATAATTTCTATATATTCGGTCTTAATAGTTTTAGTTATCCAAAAAACCGTAATACCGAGTTTCGCTTCTTAGTTAAGTTTATTAATAGAGTTAGAGTTATCGTCGAAAGAAGAAGCGTAAGATTTATATAGTAATAAGAATCGATTAAATACGTAGTCTAATAAGCCTAGATCTCCTATTATCTAGTTTAGACTTCCTTATCCGGATTTTAATAGATATAGTTCTCGTTATACCCTAGCTATCTATACTAGGAAGCGGTACTAAGGCTTATATAAGAAGTAAATAATTCCGCTTCCTAGTCTAGTAGACTTAAATTTTAAGTAAGCTTATTCTGAATATAAGAAACTATATTATTTTACCCGCCCTTTTAGCCCTTCGGCTTAG